TGATGTGTACAAGTTTTTTTCTGTACACTTAGAAATAGTGGTATATTGATATTTAGAGTATAGATATAAAGGAATTATAGAAAAACTGTATTTGGACCAGTACTTTTACAAATTGGTAAATGATTGGAAAGGACAATTTCTGTTGTGAAGAGTCAGAAATTTCTACAATTACAATACAACAAAGTATACCAGAAGATTTCCTTATATCTACCAGTTTTTATGAAAAAAAAAAGATTTAATTTGTTTACTTTTACTATAGCTCTTTATGTACATTAAGTAAGATTTTCAAAAATTAATGAAAAGAATCAAAGAAAAAGACTTTAGAATCAAACTGAGCAAATGCGCATTTCTACAAGAATCAGTACAATTTCTTGGTCATATAATTACACAGAATGGTATCGAAACTGATCCAGAAAAGATTTAAAAGATAAAAGATGCTAAAGTACCAATGTTTGCAAGTACTCTATTAAGTTTTGTAGCATTTTGTGGTTACTACTGCTTCTCCTTTTGGCGATACCATGAAAAGTCTAAACAATTTAAACTATACAACATGTAATGATGCTCTAAGGTACGTTTAGCATTCACTTTTCCACCCAAAATATGATAGCCAGTTATATTATAGAGATTTAAAAGATCTACTTGAAACCATTGTTTTGAATTAACAATTTTAAACGAAAATGTCCCTGGATGATTGCCATGCTTAAAATTTCCACATCTGCCTTCATAAGGTTTTGACGAACTATCCGAATTTGAAGCTGTAAAACTAGAATCTGGAAGTTGATCAACAGGTCAATTTGCCTTGTACAAGTACCAGATTCACCTTCAAATTGATAAATTCTAAGTAACTATTGAATTTTAATTTTGGAAAGTCATCTGCATACAATTTATCTCTTGCCTTGGCATGATCCCAAGAGACACTAGAACAGATACCGTATGTTCCATCTATGCATTGCTATGGATAGGAAGAAAGAAGTGTTAAAATTGCTGCTCATGACTAGTATCAAAATACAATTAAATCATACTTTAAGACAAGAATCTCTAGAAATAAACTTGACTTTGTACTGTCCAGTATATCTATAATTGTCTACCAAATACCAATAAGGTAGACAAATATAATTCAAAATAGTGGAATAAATTAAAGTGATATTTTTTTAAAGAACAAAAACATCTATAATTTTTCATAAAACAAACCTTTGTTCATTTCACATAAATATCCAGTGTCGGAATTAAAATCTGTAACTGTTGACCATATTCCATTACTTTTACGTATTGCAACAAAATCTTGATTATTAACAAATGTATTTGCTGAATTTTCAAAATTATGAAAATTTAACAGTGTACTATCATGCCATGTAAAATCTTTGGAACAGTTTCCTATTGTTCCTATTCTCCTTAGGCCTATAAAATAGTATTTCCGACTGGCGCTTCTTTGGAGAATCAATTTTAATTGGAGTTCCTCCTTTTAAACTACACAAAGCGTTTAAAATTAGAGCTGAATTCAGATTATCTGTAAATTTTCCAATACAACTGTCTAGATATCTTATCCAACCATGAGGGCAATCATCTCCTAAATTAATGAATAAAATAGAATAGAAAAACTGGTAAACATTTCAAAAAAAAAGAAAATATTTTCAATACCTTGTATATTTTGAAAGAAAAAATTAATTAAAAAAATTGAAATGACAATAAAGTTCATTTTATTGTCCATCATACAATTTCAAAGTTGTTATTACCATTCTGAATAGTATTTTTTCTATAATATTCATTAAAAATTATCTATTATCGTGAAAAATACGATATTTATGAATATTTAACAAAGAAACACTTTAGAACAACAACAAGTGTAGGATTAATTAAAAGTATCTTTTCATTCAATCAACAAAAACAGAATAATGTACTTGTTGATAAGATCAATAAAGAAATATCCAATTATTGAAATTTACTAACTACTCAATACCATTAACAAAGTAAATGTCTAACCTTACACAATGAAATTATTTAAATGATTGACACAGTAAAACTCCACGTAGTAATTGTCTTCTTTGTTTCTTTTACTTTCCATGATGTCAGCATTTAGGTAGTAGCAATTACTTGCAGAAAATTTCTCTTTGTTCCTAGTCCTTTGTTGACATAATGGACAGAAGCTCATTCAATAATTTTGTAAAAGATATAGAATTTGTTTTTATATCCTATCAGTCAAGTACTATCTTATATATTTAACTTTCATTCATACTTTTTGTGAATTAAATGTTATTAATTATTAAATTAAAAACAAAATTATACTGGCGCCATCTAGCGTAACCACTTATTAAATTTATTATTGGAAACATTTTAATGAATTGTGCATTTTTTGGTTAGGGCAAAGAAGAACGATTGTTATCCTTATCTACTTGTCAATTACCAAACTACCAATTTAGGTATTGCAAAATGGAGTGCATTGGTTGAAAAGTGAAATAATTAAAGCTCCTGAACATTATTCAATTGAAATTATGGCCCTTTGCTATTCTAGCAATTGTAAAGGCTTATCATATTGAAACTTTGGCTTTATTGTATAAATATAAAGAAAAATCAGGTAAATATGAGTCAAACACTCTTCAACAGATTATCATAATCTCTATACGAATTTTTTTAAACTGCAAAAACTGCAATTTTGCAGAATCATTTGTCTTGTAATGAATGTTCAAAGAAAAATAGTTGCTGCTGGGGTGCAATTCAACATCAAAAGTCAAATTGTAGAGCAGAGTGCGATTGCTTTACAGGGCTTTTTGGACAATCTTGCAAAATAAGATTGTCTAGAAGAACTTTTAGAGATCTTTACCTCTCAACATTTCATGGAAAGGAATTTGATTATTTTCGGAATAGGACAGTTCCTGGGCTATCAGTCGAATACATTGGCCTATCAGTTCGTATTCGTTTATATAATCCACATTCAATTAGTGTACACCATTATTGAGTAGTTTAAATCTGCTACAGAATTACGTCATTAAAATATATTACACTTGTATTTATCTATTTTCACTATTATTAGATATTTTCTCTTTAAATATTATTCATCTTTTATCTTGGATAGAGAGAAGAGAAATTTCAGTGAACTCTGATCGGAAAAGAGCAGAAGTAAAAGGATATCTTATTCAAGATTTATTCTTCGTTTCCATAGCAAACAACATCTTTTGTTTTAGTGAATGAACATCTTAAGATGTTAGGCCTAATGCCTGGCCGAATTTTTCCATCTCCAGTCTTCAACACCTCAATAACAAATTACTATTTTTAGAAACTTTTCCAACTATTTCAATCTGACAGGAGATTGCCATTGACATTAAATCCAAAAAATGAATATAAGTGCTCTATTTTTTCATCTGATACAACAATCCTCTATTAGTAGTTGGACTACATAGTTTATCTTGTAAAGTATTGATCAAACAAGACTTTCAAATTTAATTTAATCTACATTGAGGGGGATCACTGTGATAAGATATCACAGAGTTAAGAATTTTTAAAAGAGGAAGGAAATATATCTTTGACATAAGTTATTGTCTTTCTTCTCTCCTCTCTGGTCCCTATACACATCTCCCTTTTCCTAAATTAATGTACAAGTTTACTCAGTGGTGACATTAATATTATTCATTTTACATTATTCATTCATAGCACAACTACCTTAACTTAGTTATTTTTGCAAATTGCAAAGATAAGATTTCAGATAACCATTCTGCAATATATATATATATATATATATAGGTGTGTGTGTGTGTGTTAAAAAACTTGTTGATATCACTTGAAGAAAGAAATATTATTATGGGCTGTGGAGCATCAAGTGTACAACATTGCAAACATGTATATTGTTTGCAATGTTGCCAATCTTTGCCTTTAGATAAGTATGATATAACATGCAATCTATGTTCAGAAAAATGTAAATTAACTGAGGAGCAAATTTTAAACATAAAATTTAGTATTGCTGATGAATCTGTTGAGAATATTTCATTTATTAGTAAATTGTGTAAAGATCATAAAGACATTCCATCAGATATTTTAAAACTTGACATTAAATTTTCAAGTGAAAATTTTCTTGTTTTATGCGATAAAATAAATAAAGGTTTAGCAATACTGTCTGGTGCAATATTTACGAATTGCCAAATAGATGAGAATTCTTGGAAAATAATCGGAAATACACTGGAAAAATTTTCTTCCATTAAACAACTAAATTTCAGCGGTAATGTTGGAATGTCAAATGGATTAATAATAATTATGAATAGCCTTATTCCATCGTCAAATAATCTAAAAAGTTTGTATTTATCCAATTGTCAGTTTAGTGGAGAGGAATGGATAGCTTTTGGAAAGATCATGGAAAAATTTTCTAAACTAGAAGTTGTTGATTTAAGTCAAAATAAAGGAATTAGTAATGATGGAGTACTAAGTATTTGTCAATGGTTGAGAAAATCAACTTCTTTAAGAGGCTTAAATTTAAGTCAAATTAATATTGCAAATTTGGAACAATGGGTGTTTATTGTTGATTTATTAGCACAATTACAGTATTTAGAAATGATTAACTTGAGTGGTAATATTTTAAAAGATGATATACTGGATAAAGTATGTTGCAGTTTAAAATTATCTTCAAACAGTTTAACACATCTTAATTTTGGATATTGTAATTTTTCTCCTATACAATGTAATGAATTGGGAAATTTTTTTCTGAATTTATCACAATTACAAGAAGTCAATTTAAGTGGTAATAAAGAAATGGGGTATGGGTTGGAATTCATCTGCAATGGACTTGTTCAGTCATCAGATACATTAAAAATATTAGCTTTTGATAATTGTAATCTAACTGAACAACAGTGTAATTCTATTTCATACCTTCTGGCAAAATGTTATAAAATTCAGCTCATAAATTTGTCTTTCAATACAAGAATGGGCGATGGACTTGAGAGAATTTGTAATGGGTTAGTATCTTCAAAAAATACTCTATTCACAGTTACTTGTTATGGATGCTTCTTAAGTGACAGTCAAACGAGAGATCTAATCTTTTTGTTAGCAGTTTGTCCTTTTAAACAAAAAATATTTACATTTGGGTTAATTATCAGTTGATGAAGACCACATTTCTTGATCTGTTCTCTCTGTTTATCGTGTATGCTACAATATCTTGTATCTAATCCATCAAGTTTGGATAAATGCTTTCTGCATCCTTCAAACAGTAACAAATGATTAATACTATAAAAGCTAGAAAATACACTACCTGGAGCACAAATTAAATTTGTTGTATCTGTCATTAAATCCATAGCAAGGCCTTTTACTTGACAGATGATGGGCTTTACTGTTGCCATGCAAACATTCATTTCTCTCAAAATTTTACAGGATTTTTCTATATTGAAAATGTGAGATTTATCAGTCAATTTTAAAGCACAATTTCTATAACTTTCTGTGCACAAATCATTATTGTTATCATCATCAATGTCATCCTCAAAATCTAAATTAGTCAACACCTCTTTCGCTGACAAACCAAATAGCACAATTATGACTGAAAGTTTTGAATATTAAAAACAAATTTAATTAATTAGAGTTAAATGCAGTCAGTACTTTAACTTACTAATTACAAACAGGGTTTCGCATTTGTTCATTTTTTGCCTAAATAATTTTGTAAGTCTTTGACAAAACCGAATGAAAGTTTTCATTGATATTAACTTTGGAATTGCAAATGAAAAATGATTAATCAATCTATTGTTAATCAGCTGACAGGGTGACAAATAAAAAATAGATGTAGCTGAATGTGCTGCTTCTGTTTAGTCACTGTTTTCTTACAAAAGCAATGAAACGGATAGAGTTTTGTTTCTGAATTATTACATTAATGCTATGTTTTTATGAATTGCATTCATAATCTCTGAATAATCTATTGTTTTATTAATAAGTGTGTATTGATTTTTTTTCTTTCATTCTTCTGTTTTGAAACTCTTTTTTCTTGAATTATTGAAAAAAACTATTGATATAATCTGATTTTATAATTCATGCTCTTTCAACTAGACTGTAAATTCAACAGTTGGCAAAATGGTAGCTCAACATTTACATTTCAGTATATTTTTGTTTATCATTTCAACAGTTTGTCGGCAAGCAAATGGTTATAATTTGGGTAAGATTCGCATTAAAAAGTTTAATATCTACACTGAAATGTTAATATGTTTGTCTAGATTTGCAGTTGGTAAATGTTGTTGATCCAGACTACTCGCCAAGTTGTACACAAGATTCTGTTAAAACTTCTATACGCAGCTTGGATTTTAAATGCAAAAACGCGTTGAAACCGCAATGGATGAATATGCTTTCCTGGGTAAGCAAGTGCATTGACAATTGTGATGAAATGATAAGAATTAATTTTAATAAAAATTATAAAATTGTTGAATTCTGCTTATCACAAACATACCACAATATCCATCATAAAGCAAATGGAGTAGATATTCAGTTTGGTTCAAATAGTAATTATTACTTGAAGCTTGATAAGAATATATTTACGGAATGTTTCCTAATTAGAGATGAAAGTGTCAAAAGTATCAACTATATGAAAGTATATCCTAAAAAATCAACATTAAGCCGAGTTGGACTTTCTTCCATAATGGCATTTGCCTATGATAGTGTGAAAGGAACAAGCACTGCTAACAAAATGTATACAAATATTGCTTCAACGTTATCAGGTGCCACTTGTAATGCAAGCATGGTTCATTTTCAAGGAGATCATTTATGTCATAAAGCATTGGATTATACAGGCGGTTTTACTCTACCCAATCAGCAATGGGTAGTAACATGTACTCAACCTCACTGTGTAGGGCAGTTTATGCGAGTCGACTTTGAAATTTTTGCAGTACCTAAACTTATATGCTTTGCAAATAGGCATGTACATTGTTTAGTTGTTTGTTATTATTCTTTACCAGTTTTCCTTATACTTTTCCAGAGAGGACGATAGTGGAAAATTTTTGTCCCAGTTGAAAATTGATTGGAGTTCTGGTTCAATTCAAATTCTAGATATTCCAATAAATAATCATCCACGATGTTTTGATTATACTGAAGATTTTGTTGAAAACTGGGTAAAAGCTACCATAAATAAATTACCATCTAATGTTGAAAAGAATGTTGGACTGGGTCTTTTCCAAGTGTTTGCGGATGGTAGTATCTTTTCTTTATCTTATCATTTCATTGTTTTCTTTATATTTCCAGTTTTACCAAGGAAAGAATACACAATTAAGGATACAACAGCAGTATTTTATCATTTGCCTTCAACTCTTACCTCTGTCAGTTTTAAAGCTTTCATTTTTGGTTTATATGGAATAAATACAACAGGCAATACTTGTGGACAATTTCAATTGAAATTGTATTCATCTAACAACGACGCCATCTTTGAATTGTTATTGTCAAACAGTGAAAAAACATTTATAAAATTCAATTCAAAAACTTATTACACTAACGAAATCATTGAATTTATAAAATGCAATGAATGGAGATACTTTTGGATTACAATGAATGATGGAATGTTACAATTTGGAAATGGGATAGTTTATGGTGTCAGCACGTATATTAGTTTTCCATTCAACGCAAATGGAATTTTAGCGTCTCGAATTCAATTTCAGAATCTTTTAACAGATCAAAGTCATATGTTACAGCTCTATGATATTGGTAAGAACTTGTCTCTCTCTCTCTCTCTCTCTCTCTCATTCTTCATTTTTATTCTCTTAACAGAAGGAAGAACAATTAGGTATTTACTGAATGAAGAATGTATTGAAACAAATGGCGAAAACCTACACGATTTTTCATATTCAACTTGTTTAAATATATCAAGAAAATATTCAACAATAGAAACATCGAAATGGAATGGAATTGCAGTTCATTCAACTATAATTCAACCGGAAATAGTATTAAAGTTTGACAGTAACAACCTGTTAAATTATATTAAAGTATTTCCATTAATTGAGAATAGAGATGATAGAGACGTAAAAGAAGCGTGTAATCTAAAAATGTTGGCCAAAGGAGAGAATAGATTTAATAGATATATCTTCACTTGTAAACAATCAAATTTTCTGGTAGGAAAAGTCTATTTTACCATTCAATTGCATAGTTTCATTCAGGATAAAGTTCAAGTTTGTTATTTAAACTACTAGATCTATTGATGTATTCAATTGTGCAGTTTCTATTAATCATTGATTTCTTTTATTTTATATGAACTCCTTTATGACTTTTTATAAAAGTCAGGGTTATTAATAAAATATCCTTTTAGATTCTTTTGAATAAAACCAAAAGCATTTTCAATGTTGTTTCAATTGCTGTGTTCTAAAATCTATTTATAGCACTTTAATCCTTGAATACAATATGGGGACTTACTAAAGTCAAGTTATAGTAGTATTTATATCCGTACGAAATCTATCTCCTCAAATCTCATTATTACCAATGATATAATAAAAAAAAGAGATTAAAGTTACCAAAAAGTTTAGCAGAACAAATATTTAATTATTCTATGAAATATTCAGAAAATTTTCAAGAATCGGATCTTGAATTTTTCAAAAGAAATGTTGCTATAAAAATGATACATTTTGACAAAAGGTTTAAAAATTTATCTAGTTTTAAGTTTCTAAAAAATCAATCAGTTGAAAAGGTAACAATTGAGGATGTTTTATTAAATGTTCAAGAATTTCCAATTTGCAATGCAGCTATTGAATTAAAACGGAAAAATTGTAATTATATTGGTGAGAATATTCTCTTGAAATTTCCTAATTTGAGATCATTGAGTGCGAGAATTGATATCATCAGATCTAAATGTTACAAAGATCTATTACATTTCCTACAAAATCATGATAAACTGGAAAAGATAAGTTTAAATATTGATAGAAATTTTTTAGATGAAAGAGAATTGCTTTTAAAATCTTTAATAAAATCTTCTCAATCCATTAAAAGTATGAATTTCAAAGGAATTCCAAACGAAAAAGAGCTGATGCTACTGGAGAAACTATTAAATAACTGTCACAATTTGGAAGAGTTCAAGTATGTATATTCGTCAAAGAAATTTGAATATTCAAAATTCTATAAAGCTCTTCAAGTATCTGCTAAATTGTTGAAAAAACTCGATATATCAATGAATGTAAAACTGATAACGATTTAAACCAATTAGCCAAATTACTAGAAAATTGTAAAGTATTAAGAGAAATTTCAGTACTAAGCACAGGATTTGGTGAAGAAAGAAAACGAATTGTTTTAAAAAATGCAATGACCTATTTAAAATCTATATCAGTAGTATGTTTTCTTCAATTGTATCCTAACGAAGAGGAGGAGAATGAGGAAATAGATTTCTTGAAAGAAATTCTGAAAGAATGCCATCTTTTGCATCGTATGATAATTAAAAATCTTTCATTGATAGACAAAACGTTATTGTATTTCAATAATGGAAATCTTGACCCATTTTTTACACTTGAAAATATAGAATTCACTTGTTTCAGAATTCCAATTCAAATAGCAGATTTGTTTAGTCAGTGTAAAAATCTTCAATCTTTAAATCTTTCTTATTGTCATTTTGGTTATGATTTAGAAATGGAAGAAATTTTCAATAGTTTAAATAGTATAAAACTTAAATATGTCAATTTTTCTTCTTGTTTCTATAAAAAATCTCAAAATACTATTGTCAGTAGATTTTTTCAAAAATGCACTAATTTGGAAAATATTAACCTTTCATATAATTCAAACTTGTATGAAGATTTATATGAAATATGTTTAGGCCTATTATCCTCAAAATATACTTTAAAATATTTAAATCTTAATGGTTGTAAATTACAGGAATGCCATTTTGAAATTTTAATTTATCTTTTAAATAATTGTCCTGCTTTAGAGACGTTATCTTTAAAATTTAATACATTTACTTCCAGTTTCTGTACAAATTATCCATGTTGCATTTTGCAGTGTTAAAATTGCCGTTCATTTGTATATTGTTTTATTAAAATTAACCTTCACCTTTTAATCTAAACTATCATTTGTCTATATTAACCAGGATGGTGGAGTGGTTAAGGCATTGGACTTAAGATCCAATGGACAAATATCCGCGAGGGTTCGAACCTCAATTCTGGTAAAAAAAATTGTTTTGTGTTGAATATTTTTCAATTTAAATACAAATTGAATAGTTTCACTTTATAATTGCGTTTTTTTTTTAAATGCAGAACTTTTTCATTCAAGGAAAGTGTATCTAAATGAGATGAAGACTTTGTCTAGGAAACATAAAAGATGGTACTCATAGAGTAGTTTTACAATAATTAAATTTGATGTATATTCTCTGAACAATGGAAAACAACATTAATGAGATTAAAGACAGCTGCTAAACTTTAAACTCTATTTTACAGTTGGAAAAAATTTCCATTTCACTGATATCTCAATTGTTTTCCAATAACTGTCCGTTTCTGAAGGCATTTCCTCAAAAACATTCCAAACTTGAAGATATTGTTTTGATGATTTTCTATAGTAAAATCATTTACTTTTGCAATTGCAACAAAATACTCTCCGGTCTTGATCTATGAAAAGAAATAGGGTGTTTATGAGACAGTTATTATTACAAATGATAAAATATAGAATTGTATACATTAATCCATATTTGATTGATTCCCAATTCTCCTTCAAAACAAAACAATCTCTCTGACAGGAATTGAATAGATTGAATAGTAGTTTTGAATAATTTGAAAAGTTGCCAAGCATTATAGATTATAAGATGAGATTGAGATTGAACGCTTTTGTAGTCATTAATTATTATATTTGGAAAGATGTGATTTTGTAAAGATTCATTAATGAAAGATGCCACTGTTTGATGAATGAGAATAGAGAATGAATAGAATGAAACTGTATACAAAATATATAAAATAAAATAGATACTATAAGATCTTAAATGCAACATATTCTGTTCATTACGAAGTTTCCTTAATAGAAATGATTGGAAATATAACATAAAAGCTAATAAAAAATTCATATAATACCTTTGCTGTTGCTTTTGCAGTTTAGAAATATTCCTATATTCAATGTAGCAATAAAATGTAAAAATACAAGGATTTACAACAGAATTTAATGGTAAAAAGACAATAAATATTAAGAAATATACGTTATTCTTAATATTTAAATCTATAAATATAGCCAATAGGCCTAGTAAAGAAAATGGCATCCAACAAATTATATTTGTAAATATTATGATAAGGATACTTTTTGATAATCTTGTATTAATACTTTCAGTTTTCAACATGTTCTTTAATTTCAATCTTGATTTTCTTACAAAGAGAATAATTGAAATATAACAAATTAGAATTATAGTATTGTATAGAAATAGGAAAACTCCAAAATAGATAAAAGATAGAAACCATCCTTCAAATATTTCTTTTCTAATAAAAATATTAAAACACATTGGAGTTTTTGAAAAATAATTCTGAAAAGGGAAAGTTTATGTTGTTGTTGGTTTTACCCTAACCCTAACCCTAATCAAGTCCCTGGATTCTTTAGAATTAAAATCTATTTTTAATATTTACACTATATAAAAGATTTGGAAGAGATGCCAATAACAGTGAAATTATTATATTTCCTCCGCAAAACCAAGCCTTCCTTTTCACCAGCAACACTGAACTCTTTCTCAGCGAAGTTATTACGGATAATTTCTCAATTGTTAACAATAAAAGGCTACTTGATGACAATAGTACCGCAAAGGACGAAAGACTTCCAAAACTACTGCAAACGTATCCGTATCTCCAATTGTATTCTTCATCGAGAAAACGATTCGCGTAGTAGATGTCAACTATTGCAATTGTTAGAATGTAGATGCTTATAAAAACGTCACCAACTATCAGTGTTGTTTGATAGGATACGAAGGCTTTGTGATAAGCTAATTGTATGATTAATGCTATAAAATTTGCCAGGAAGCCACTACAACCGTAAATCCAAAACAAAATTCGAATTGTTTTTGTTGCCAAAAGATCGGAACAAATTTGAAATTGTGACGAAGACGGTTTGCAAATAACTTCAATATTTATATATTTCCATATTAAACAGCATAAATTAAAACTGGTAGAAAATATTTTGTTAATTTTTTGTAAATGTTTTACAATCTCTTTTGAATGTTTTAAAGGAAATTTTGTAGAATTCATATAAAGTTCGTTTAATTCGTTTAAACGCTTAAAGAAATTCTTTTCAATTATTGTAATGGAACATTTAACTAATTTGAATATTTTTAAATTATTGAAAGTTTGAGAATCAATCAATTTTAGAATTGAAATTTTTGTATAAGAAATATCTAGATATCTTAGTGAATTTGTTTGGAAATTTAACAAAAGGCTAGTTAAATTTTTGATTGGATTGAATGAAATATCAAAATATTGTAAAAAAGGAGAGAATTGAACATTATCATCATCATCATTATCATTTTTGGTTAAATGAAAAATGGAATTTTTTTTTAATATAACAACAACCACATTTGGAAAACTATCAAGCTTGAAATCATTAATATTAATACAATTTTCAATGTGTAATAGTGTTACTTTCAAATATTTAAATCTCTTTGTATTTAAACGTAATGATCCATCTATCGTAACGACTCGTACGTAATTGTTAATTACAACTTTTTCATTCTTCCCAATTCCCTTTATCAAACTTTTACATTGTAAA